GAAATGATATCATTGCTACGCATATGCAGGACCTTAATGTAGATGCAGAGCTCCTGTTGGTCAAAGTTCAGCTTGTGAACCAAAACCTCTCTTTGTATGTGTCTTCCACCGTCCTCCATCCCATGGAGAAGAGCCTCTCCTAAAGCTGCACGAATCACTGCGCAAGATTAATCAATCTAAGAACCCAACAATCTGGATCGGGGGTGACTTCAACGTCCCAGATGTGAACTGGAGCATGACCGTAAGGAAACCACCAGCTGAATGCCTGTACACAGAACGTGTGTCTTCAACTTTTGAAATCATCCACGACTTTTCATTGACACAGCTTGCCAGTGAGGTCAACCATGTTCATGAAACAAGAGTGACAAGGGTCATGAACATCCTAGACTTGCTGCTTGTGACTAATCCTAATTCAATCCCACCGGTCAAAACCTTACCACGTGTATCTGACCATTCCATCCTGACAGCGGAGCCTTCCATTAGACCCACCATTCAGAAGAGCACCCGTCATAAAGTGTTTTTCTTTCACAAAGCAGATGTTGATGCCTTGCAAAAGGACATGCAGTCTTTCCAGAACTCCTTCCTTGATGACCATGATTCAAGAACAGTTGAGGGTAACTGTGAAATGTTTAAAGCGGCTCTACACTCTGCAGTTGATAAACATATCCCGTCATCCATCAGAAGTTCCCGCTTCAATCTTCATTGGATGAATAGACCACTGAAACAACAGTCCGGAGGAAGAACAGATCATTGTATAGAGCAAAACAAACAAACAAACAACAACACCAAGCATTGGCAAAGATATAAATCCCTGAGGCGCTCCACCAAGAAAGAAACTAGAAAGGCTGAGAGAGAATACATTACTACGGAGGTGTTTGAATCTCTACGCTCTATTAGGCCAAAGAAGTTCTGGTCCTTCATCAAAAGCAGAAGGAAAGATGCCTCAGGAATTGCAGCTCTGCTTCTTGATAACAAATTGGTGAGCCCTTAGTAGACAGTACAAGTCGGTGTTTACACGGAAGAAACTAGACACCTTCCCACCATCGAAAAGAGAACCACTTCCTCAAATCCCAGACCTGAAGATAGGTATAGCTGGCATTCAAAAACTGCTTGAAAAATTGTGCCATTCAAAGCACCCGGACCAGACTGCATTCACCCTTTTGTCTTGAAAAGTTGTGCCAGCCAAATCGCACCCATTTTGACGGCCATTTTCAATCAAAGCATCAAAACCGGGACACTCCCACTTGATTGGAGGAAGGCAAACATCTCTGCCATTTTCAAGAAGGGAAGCAGAACAGATCATTAATACCGGCCAGTGTCTCTAACCTCAAACATGTCATCTACAGTCATGTGATGTCACATCTCCAGAAACACAATGTTTTAAATGACTCTCAACATGGATTTTAGGTCACGCAGATCCTGTGAAAACCAACAGCTCACCACAGTTCACAATAATATTCTGTTCTGCAATGAACCGAAGCCAGGTTGACGCTATTGTGCTCGATTTCGCCAAGGCGTTCGACACATTACCGCATTAGAGACTGCTCAAGAAACTTCATCATGTTGGCATTCATGGATCACTTCATAAATGGATTTCTAGCTTCCTACTGACCCAAAGAGAGCAAACAGTTGTCATCCAGGGAGTCAGTTCCCAACCAGTCCACGTCTCATCTGGTGTACCACAGGGCACACTGTGTTGGGCCCTCTCCTCTTTTTTAGTATATCAACGATATTGCCGAAGGACTGAACTCGAATGTCTGCTTGTTCGCCGATGATTGTGTCATTTATCGCAAAATTACATCTTCATCTGACTGCGAAGACCTGAAGACACTAGAGGAGTGGGAGCAGCGCTGGCAGATGTCATTTAAACCAGAAAAATGCAATATTCTCAGATTCACCAGTAAGAAAAACATCATCCACTCTTCATTCAAGCTCTCTGATCACATTCTGGAATCAGTTAAAAGCCGCAAGTACCGGACGTCGGCACCTCTCATCGGACATGAAATGGAATACTCATATCAATGCAGTCACAGCTAAAGCTAACAGCATGCTTGGTTTTATTGGCGAGCTGCGAAGCAGATGCGAGCCTATGTAATACCGATTTCCGTACGTCTGTCCGTCCGTCCGTCCGTCCGTCCGGCGTACGAACGTCCGGACGTCCGCGTTCAGATAAAAATGTTGAAGTTTTTGGTTCTAGCTAACTTGGTAAAAAAAAAATGCAGTTTACATGCATCATCTCTATAACTTACAATTAGGTTCATTTCATTGCAGTTAATTTTATGATTTTATTGAGGAATTTTAATTAAGGAAAATGTTACAGTTTTTAATTGTTAAATGTATGTAATAGTGGGAGAACATGTACATGTATACATGTATATACCTGTATAACATGTACACTATGCATTTTGGGGGAGCATTCATGTGTATACTTATGTGCATGTGCTTCTGGTGTGATCTTTTAGTTTTATGGGGTTGGAGTAGGGATGGGTAGGGATTGGTTGGGGAGGATGGGGGTAGGGGATAGGGGTTTGGGTTGGTGGGGATGGGGTAAGGGAGGATAGGGGTTGGAATAATGGGTTTGGGTGGGGTGGGGATGTGTAGGGGTGGGGTGGGGACAGGTAGGGGAGACAGGTAGAGGAGGATGGGGTAGGTGGGTGTAGGGGTTGGGTTAGGAGGGGGTGGGGGAGGGGGAGGGATATAGGATTGAAGTAGGGTTTGGGTTTGGTTGGGGATGTGTAGGGGTGGGTGGGTGTAGGGGTTGGGTAAGGGGAGGGTGGGGGAGGGGGTGGGATGCAGAGATTGGAGTAGGGTTGGGGTGGGGATGTATGGGTATGGGAGAATGGGGTAGGTGGTAGTAGGGGGATGGGGGAAGGGAGGGTGGGGGAAGGGGAGGAGATAGGAATTGGAGTTTGGGTGGGGTTGAGATGTGTAGGTGATGGGGTGGGGGGAGGAGATAGGGATTGGAGTTTGGGTGGGGTTGAGATGTGTAGGTGATGAGGTGGGAGTGGGTGGGGGAGGATGGAGTGGGTAGGGGGTTGGGGTGGGTAGGGGGGGGCAGGGCGGGGATGGGGTAAGGTTTGAGGCATGTGGTGATGATGCTGCGTCTACATGTACATGTACATACCCATTCATGTTCCGCATTTGTGGGGACTACACAATACCGGTAGTTCTTCCATGGTAATACATGTATGGGGACAGAAGATTCTGTGGGGGCTGCAAAAAGGATCCACAACTGGGAACTTAATACCCTAACAATGGAAAACTTTCATGTATAAATGGAAATATATGTACATGTATTTATTAGGACATTTGTTGACTTTTTATGTTGGCATTTAAAAACTGACCCCTACACCTTGGCACATCAACGAGAATCCTGATCCCCATCATGCCCATCCCCCAACCCTACCTTCAGCCTCCCTTCCTGCCTTCGACAGCGAGCCATGGCGGCTTCGCCGTTCTAGTTAGACGCAACTTAGGTCCAGCCCCACCCAAGGTCAAACTCTAAGCCTATCAAAGTTTAGTCCATCCTCATCTCGATTACTGTTCATCAGTGTGGGATCCCTTCACAGCCACCAATAAACAGAAGATTGAGATGGTTCAACGAAGAGCTGCCCGGTTCATCACTAACACATATAGCTGGGACAATTCTACATCTGTTACTGCTCTTCTTGAAAAACTGGAATTACCCACCCTGGAAATTTAAATAGGAGATACGTACAGCGCCTCACAAACTTCCACAAAATCTTCAATGGACAGATCGACGTTAAAGTTCCACCTGAAATAATCATTAGGCAGCCAGAAATAACAACGAGACGCTCAAAACCCATCTACCTTCAGAGGCCCTTCACCAATATCAAAGGACTCCAACACTCATTCTTATATCAGACCAGCAAGGATTGGAACGGCCTCCCTCAGCACATTACTGGCATAGGAGACACCAATCAATTCAGTGATACCCTTAGACCCCTTAGCACTCGTCAATAGCATGTCCATCCCTTCAAAGCTAAGTGATGTTCCTGTAGGAGCTTATCAGCTATATATCATTCAAGATCAAGATCAAGCCAAGACTTTGCTGCAAAGTACCTTTGTATACAAATATACATGTAGATACAGATATGTTCCCTATAACGTGGCTTCGACGTTTACCCCGAAATTCATTCAGTGAAATACTGGTACTTTTACCTTATTAAAGCTTGCTATTTAACCTCTGTGAACAATTTCGGTGTCATGAAATTGAAACCGAAATTCAAAAACGGCGGCGTCCGGAAATTGGGCACAAAATCGGCCGAGTGTTCCCTAACGTGGCGCACTTGAATAAATCGCGGAAAATTCCAAATTTTTTTTTAAATTTCTGTAAGGTTGACAAATTCTGCTAAACCATTATTATCTCTACTTTACATACCCAACAAGAAGTGTGTCAGAAAATAATGTTCTTATTTTGCGGGACATTTTTAAAGGGTTCACTGTGCACTTCGAAATAAAATCGGAAAATCACGCCGAAATAAATTGTTCTTCTACCTTTGTAACGGGTAGATAAACTCGTGATTTATGATGATCGGGAGTGTTTAGAACTTGCTGAAATTTCACTGTCTGTGAAATTTCAGTTAAAACTTTTGCTCTATAGCTAGGCGCGCGCTACAGGCGAAAAATCAAAGTGCGCCACGTTAGGGCCTCGCCACATTAGGGTACAACAAATACATGTACAACTATTTTCACTTTTATCCCCCTTTTATTGATGTATTCGTTCATCATTCATTCCTTTATTTTTTAAAATCATTTTCCGGTGTATCCGTCTTTTTAACGTTTTTTTTTTTTTTTAACTTCTTCAATGAAAATCCAGCTCGCATTACTTTTACAATGCGTAGCATGCAGCAGGCGCGTTTACCTACCTACCGTAAGCGGCGCCCTTCCCGATAGCCCAATTTAATCTGAAGACGTCATCGCACCTAGTCACCTGATCGACGTACATGTACCTATCACTAGTCAGTATCACCCATCGCGCCGGCTCGGTACATGATACATGTCATTGTGTGATATCGATCGTTCGTGATCGTTGTTGCTTAACTCCTAACAGTAACAGTAACTAAAATTTAGTGTGATCAAAAACGTCATTGGACGATGTTGCTGACATGAACCATCAGTAGCCGATCACTGGATGTTGACATGTACATGGGCATGGATTATCAGTTTAATCGGTTATCGTTATCTTTCTGAGTTGACATTTGTCATGATTGTGTAATATTAACTTTCACCACCATCAGTCACTCCGTTGTCTGGTTGTTATATTCATGGTTATCGTTGTGCAGTGTGCACATAACGTGTAGGCTTAGGCGAGATATCTGCGTGCACTGCATTCAGCGCAGGTCAGAAATCGTCAGAAAACTGCACGACCAGCTCTGGTGTGCTGCACTGCACTGCATATCATGATCATAGAATTTCACAGCACATTGTGATTGTATTGAATACTGCTTTTCAACATGGGACAGAAAGGACGGCAGTTTCGTCTGCTTCTCTGGAAGAACTTTATTTTGCAGGTGAGATGAAGTTTGTTTTCAGATCAGGCTTTATTAGCTTGAGTAACTCCAGCTGACAATGCTCATATTCATTCACATGTAGCACTGGAGACATAACCTATTCGTTAGAGTGTGTACTGGTACTTGTAGTTGTAGCAAGAGACCCTAAAAAAAGGGCCTCTACAAAAATGGTCCATTTTCACCTCTATAATCCCACCCCAGATTCCATGGACAGACCTTACACCATTCAGCAGTCATTCACAAAGCTAATGATCGACTTGAAACAGAACCCCCCCCAAAAATGTGAAAATCGTTGAAGATTTCGGCGGCTTGTCAATAAAAACTGTCCAGTTCCACTTATGCAAATGAATGCATCACGTGATGATTATCGGAAAAAAGTTTGCGCGATGTACGGGTGTATGTGGGTACCACACCGCTTTCAAGCGCCGCTAGTGGGTTCAATTTTCGTCTGGTGCATTGTCTTGCTTTCCACGACTGCTATTCACGAATAAAAGAGTGATGAATGACTCAATCTTACGGCCGTTTCAAACCTTGCAGGGTCGTGGTCGTGATGCAGGTCACAGGTCATGCAAAATCTATCCAATCAGAGCATTCATCAGCCCTTCCCAGCGTCCTGTTTGCAGGGCAGGGGGTACGAGCGAATATTAATTATTGTACCGTCCAATCACTTAATTGCTAAATCAATTAAATTAGCTAATTTATTAATGAAATTTAATGAACAGTGTTTTGTTTTTTTAAGATTAAGTACTTTTTTTATTGTACAGTACATCATACATGTAATGCAATTTAAAGCATTTTGCAAATAATGTCAAAACTTGACCGATTGAAGGGATCATTATCATTCTTTTTACGTTAACAAATAACAACGGGTTGCACAAAGGAAATTATGATTTATTTACATTTAAGAATATAAATAAAATGCTAATTTGTTTTACAAGTCAAAAAACTTGAAGTTGGTCTCCATAATTGAACTACATGTACTTCAGGAACTTTGTACACTTTTCAAGCAATTGCCGCTAGCGTGCTTATGACTGCTTGCCCAGTCCCCTTGCGCAAGGTTCTCAATTATTGCGATCGCCTTGCGCAAGTTGTAACGTGCGCGCGCAAATTAAAATGATGCAGTGTAATTTGCGTGCTTCGGGAGTCCCTCGCGCAAGTTTAAACTTGCGCGGGGGAGCCGGGGGACTCAAATTGCGCTCGACATTAGTACACAATATCTTTATTAACAACCCTGGTCATCATGGTCATTAGCAATTCGCAACAATTTATGATTTATAAAATCCACTTTTTTTTAAAAGATGGGCCTTCAAAAGAACTTTGTTTAATATTTTTTACTTTTAAACTGAGGTTCAAGTTATCTCTCAATGGTGATGTTTGAACTTGAAAACAAAAATTGATTGACGAAGTTGAAATCAGGTTAGTTGTTCAAAGCACCGGCCGGCGCGGCCAAGTTAAGATTTTGAGCACTTTTGTTGCAAATGAAAATGATGTACCGTATGGAAACTTCCCAAATTTGATGAAAATCACTGACATTGCTGTTTGGCCACACTTCCACCACCATGTACAAAAACATGTAGAACTTTGTCAAATTTTGATTTTCACATTTAGGCTTAGTTTGTAGTTCAATATTTGCTTTAGAAGCATACTCACCCTCTTCATAGGCTAATAAGAAAGTGCTGCCTTTTTAAGATGTCTATTTTTCGTGAAATTTCCAGATTCGTTTGTACACGTTTGCATATCAAAATTTCAACCACAGAATACATCTAGACACACCTGAGATACAATTACAGATCAGTGTTTAACCTGTACTAAGGTTTACTTATGTACAATTTGGACAAAAAGTGAACTTTACATTTTTTGTACCATTCAGGTGGCGTATCTGGGTGCACACCGGTAAATAGGCCTAAATCCATCCGACCTCATGAATAAATGTTACACCCTCAAAATATTCTATATTAGAGAGTTCTGAGCGTAGTTAAGTTGGGTAATTGAAGAGATAATTTATGGCAATGAACCCTGGCCCAGACTTGGGGCTTCCAATTCTGAGCATTTTGGATGCAATTGGGCTCAAAAGTGGCGCTATTTTGCCATGTTGTGGAGGGATCGTTTTTCAAGATGGCTACTTGATGGGAAAAATAGGGGTCATCTTTTTTGGGTGAGAATTTCTCGAAAAGTCAATGGTCAACCCACCAAAAAATGAAAAGAAATGAAAGATGACATGTTGACCATCATTTTTCTGTGCAGCTTAAATACCTGTGAGAGTTCTGAGTAGGCCTACTGTACTTTTATTAAAAGAATTTTGAAGTACATGTATGGGCATTTAGCAATGGTGTCTATGGGAATTTTAATACAGGGGTGCATTCATCTAGCAATTCTGTGGCCATTTTGAGGTTGAAATCTGATTTTTTTTTTTTTTTTTTGCAATTTGAAGGTTGTTAATTATTGCCTATTTGAAAGCCATGTGATGGCGGACATTCAACTTGGGCCCTGCTGTCGGCTATAGTATAGTGTAGTTACGGGCCTGGTTCCGTTCCGTATATAAAAGAGAACAAAATCCAAGTTTAATTTGACTTACCAAACTACATACACACGTTGTTGGCGTCATTAAGAACATGCAGGTACATGTACATGTCATAGATAGAGGTCAGGGTCAAGGTCATTTTTGAATAATAAAAAGCACCCTTGACTCTAATTTGATCGAAACTAAAGAGGGGCCCGTAACTACTCTCCCTGCTGTTGCCAGACCATGTCAAATGTCAATAAGGCAATAAGTTTGGTCCAAGTTACTCGGGCTAGTAGTTTTGATTGTGGCCATTGTAGCAATGGGTCCCTCTTTCTTTTTGGACCTTGAACTAAAGTAAGCTGAACTTCTTTAATTTTAACAACCATATTTTTTGGGCAATTTTGAACAGGATCTTTCGGTAGAAATGCAATTTTCTTACACATTTTTCAGTTGCAAACCATGCGAATCAATGCAGTTTTGCGCATTTACGGTGCGTCATGGTGATGGCAATTTTTATATTCATGTTGGGATTTGCATTGTCATTTTACGCAAAAAAGTTCCCTAAAAAAATCAAAACAGTGCCCTGTAACCACAATAGTTAAATTTTGCTAATAAGCCAGTTCGGTATCTCAATGAAGTAGTCCAGGTCAAAGGTCATTCGGGATAAAATTGCTGATGTGACAATACAGCATGTACAATGGACCGTCTCCTTGGGTGTTAATGCGCCTTTGGTGAGCGTTGGATTATTCTGAATGACCCGTGACCCACATCATTGTGCGCATAGGCAGTTGAAATACCGACCTGGCTTACTACTTGAAGAACTGCAACTAAATGTATATTCTCTAGGATAAGGGAGTGTAACTACACAATGGCCTTGATTGCTGCAACTGAGGAAAAGAAAAATCACACTAAGATAAAAACACTCTAAAGCTAGAACAGAAGAGAGCACGTAAGCTACGCAATCACAATCTTACATGTAATAATGTGTTGCGAAAACAGGCTTTTTTAACCATCTAGCAGTCATCAGACCCCAAAAAATGCTATTTACCACATGTGAGGGACACAAAATTTATCACACCTGAGGGACACAAAATCAAAACCTGTCAGTGTCTGAGAAATGCCATATGTATTGTTAATTAAAGGTATAGTCCATCATTTATAATTTTGTGCATTTTATTCGTTTGAAGCAACAAAAGTTTTCACAACCTTTTAGAAGGATGCTGAACAACTAACTTGATGAAGTTTCAGCTCAGCTTCAGCTGTATATTTGGAGAAAAACAACATTCTAGGTTCTCGATTTCAAATCAAAAGTTGCTGAATCATGTTTAAAATTGGGCCTGAATTCAGCGTCCGAGACACGTTCTCACTGAGCCGATTGCAGCTACGTGATGTCGCGCACTGACCCGACGAATTATAGTAACTGCGCGCTAGTGTGCGTCATGTCAACGCCAGCGCGCGCTTCGCCAAATAAAAAAACCGAACTACATGTACTAACGGAGATTTTCAACGGTGCGTCTTAAGACGCACCATTGGAAAGGCCTTTTTTCGTTGATTTCTTCAAAATGACAGCATGCCAGAAAGAATAATTTTACAGGGAGTTTAGTTCCCTTACTATCTTTCAACCATGTATGTTTTTCCACAATAATTACGTCAGTTACTTTTTGGATGGCTGCAAATGATGGACTATAGCTTTAAATACAATTATTGCAAAGCTGCCATAAAGGATGATACATCTAGGCTATTGATCACATAATCAAATTGACAATATGTACAATTGTTATAATAGTGAACATTAACTACATGTACTTTTTGTAAACTATATATGACAACATGTAGGTCATTAATTGGCATGTCAGTCATCTAATTTGTAAAGGCTTTGTGAATCCACTCTTCTATCATGTTTATGTTGCAGATCCGACGTCCCATTGGAACCACATTCGAATTGCTGCTGCCATTTTTTGCCACAGCACTGCTTCTGCTCGCAAGGTGAGATGTCACAAAGATATCATTTGCTGTCCATGTCTCGCAAGCCATTTATGTGACCTCACTGACAAAGCAACTAATTACACATGAACATTAATGGTAACCTTAGTCAGTTCAAGTCATTGTGGAATGTTCATTTCATTAACATAAAGAAAGTTCTACATGTAACTCTAATTTTAACCTCAACCCCCCTCCCAATATTTCAAAAAGTTGTCTTCTTTTTTTCACTTTAACATTATTATTTATTACCTCCACCAAGGAGGTTACAATGTTTTCATCGGCGTTGGTTTGTAATTGGTTGGTTTTCTGTCAAGATTTAACTCAAAAATTATGGACGGATTTTCATGAAAATTGTTTTAGGGGTGGTCCTTGGTACAAGTACAAATTGATTAGATTCTGGAAGTGATCCAGATCTGGGTCTGGATCTATTAGATTTGGAAGTGATCCGGATCTGGGTCTGGATCTATTAGATTTGGAAGTGATCCAGATCTGGGTCTGGATCTACATTTGTATTAGATTTGGAAGTGATCCGGATCTGGGTCTGGATCTATTAGATTTGGAAGTGATCCAGATCTGGGTCTGGATCTACATTTGTATTAGATTTGGAAGTGATCCGGATCTGGGTCTGGATCTATTAGATTTGGAAGTGATCCGGATCTGGGTCTGGATCTATTAGATTTGGAAGTGATCCAGATCTGGGTCTGGATCTATTAGATTTGGAAGTGATCCGGATCTGGGTCTGGATCTACTTCTGGCACCCCGTGTGCTAGACCTGTGAACGTGGCTCTACATAGCCACGGATCGCTGTCAATCTGTGGGCTCGTGATGTATTTTTGAAATACCCGGTTTGAGACCTTCCACTTATGATACATTCCCGAATTTAACGAGTACACATCGTTGAAAGCAAGTTCACATCTTTTTCCAGTTTCAAATTATAAGGCACTTACGGTTTGGACCAGAAGGAAGGGTCACACAATTACCGGTAGGCACACACGAGATAACGATCCTGGATTATTCTTTAATTTCCGCAAAAGTCAAGTTCAGGTCTCTCATGGTTGATTTTATATTGAGTTTATATTGATTTTCAAAGATTAAATCTAGAAATTTTTAATCGCTTGTAATTTGACACCCAATGACGTCATCGTGACGTCAGAGTAATATGCACCACCGGGGATGAGGGTCAATATACCGGTATGTTGAAAGTTTAAAGTTCATATCATACACTGTTTAGCATTAAGGAAGAAAACCCGCTGAGAATTGTCCGGAAAAAAAGAAAGAAAGAAAGAAAAAAAGAAGATTTATCAGAACAATTCTAAACTACAACCCGACCACTCAACAAAATATCTTACTGCGCTGAGCCCTCCAGTGTCTTTCTCTCAAATCACAGTTTTACCCCATTAGTGTGAAAATGAGAAAGGAAAAGAAATCATTTATTGACAAACATAAAATATACACCCTGGAGACAGCGCTCCATGATCTGGTATGTTTATGAGCTTTGTAGAGGGGCCACTGGTAACCTCACTTGTTTACCAAATCCATTGCAAAATTCTTCCTGGCTACCCTTTTTTTTCAAAGCTCAAACTCATGACTCAGCATGCTTTCAAGTTGTATACACTGCATACTGATCATTTTGTTTTCCCTAATTTCTATCTCTCTGTAGAGTTCTCATCAGATCAGAAGACCTCTGTTTCAGTAAGTCTTGATTGCTTTATTGTGTTGATTAAAGGCTGGGGGGATGTGTGTTTACAGTAATGACCAAAACTATGCAGGTAGGAACATTACATGCACATATACATGTAGGTAGGAAATTTTTTTTTATGTTTCTCTGTTATTTTTTGCACTTAAGTTTGTTTGCCTTAGTGTATCTTTAATGCTTTTCTTTTTTTATTAACATTTTCAATTGACTAATTAACCAATAGTTATGCAACAAAAATTTGCATATAGGGAAGACTCCTTTTTTTTCAAAATGTACTTTTTAAAATTTTGTTGGCAAAACATGGTACAATACAAAGTTGTGAGTTCGGCAATTGGGCCTCAAATAAATCCAGGTAGTTTGAGTAACAGTATACATTGTAGACCTACATGTACCGGTACCACAATTGTTTCCATTGCCTAACCACTCAAAAAAGTCATATTGGCCTTGAATTTTTCTTAGCTACATACACGGTAAGTACATGTTTATAGCCCATAAACATCTTGTCTTATCTTGTGGAAAGATCCTAATACTAGTGCTGTAACATCCTGTATTTAATTTACGGTAAGTCATGATGCAAGTTGCTGTAAGACTTTATAGTTTCCTCATGAATATTTTATGAAATGTACACACTATTGTTGAGGTTGAATGGTGAAGCTTGGACCAAATAGACTACAAACATGCTGCAATTGGCCCTGGCATATTGTGTTTAGTAATGTTTTGTTGCCTCCCAACCCTACATGTACATGTAATAACCCTAAGTCATGTTAGTCAGTCACACATTTACCAGGAAAAGATGACATTATCAACCCAATTAACAGTCATGCAACTTTCCTGTGGATCTGCCAAATTCCTTTCTTTTTTACCTCTGTCTTATGCCATTAAACATATTTTTAAAATCTCCCAAAATGTCAAGCTTAACTATGGCATGTACATTCTGCTCATTACAATTTTTAAACAGACAATAAATTGTTTCCTGAGTTAATTTCCCTGCCACACCTTTTACACAGGCTAGTCACCAACAGTCAGATCATAATATTGTAAGCAAGCACTGTGACTAGTCAAATTCCATCAACAGACAGAAGCAAGCAAGTGGTAGGCACAGCTGTCTAACCAATCGCCTACATGTATGGTCAAAGCATAGCTGTATCAAGTTACATAAATAGTCACAGCCAGTCAAACCTACCGCTGGGAGTGGGAGCTCTTAAAACTGTTGAAAACAGTCACTTGGCTGATTTTGACTGAAGAAACAACAACTTTGCACAGAATGTATGTTTGCATAGCACATGTATTCAAATACTGAGCCGTTCAGAGACTCCATAGTAACTCCTCAGCTTCTTGACATGTTCAGCTACATTGGATAAGATTTAAAATGTTCTGCACAAAACTAGTATCATAAAATGTGTCTTAGTTGTTTTGTGTGAAACCGATACATACAGTACATGTACGCAACCAACAATATCTTTGGGAGTTTTCATTCATTTTATTATTATTTATTTCTTATTTCAACTGGGTGGCCCATTCAATGGAATCCACTGGTCTACCATGGGTTCCAGCATACATAAAAGACAATAAACACATAACAGTGTACACAAACAATCAACTTAAAAAAATACACATTCCCATAAAGTCACATTAATTTTAAAAGTCAATTAAATCATCGTTAACTATGTACATTCACCAAAAAAATGAAAACTCAATTGCTTAACTCTTATAATGTCTGATGAATAATTATTTTACTCCTGTTTGTTATGTTCCTGTTTGTCCCTGCGTTTTGTCCCTATTCATTACAAGTAAATAGTATTTGTCCACAGGTTGGGGTACAAAAGCTATGCTTCACCCTAAAGGCCTACTACCTAACGTTGTTCGAGTATGTATTTTGTTGATTTACGATAAATGTTAATATAATACATGTAATTATAACATTAATTTTGTATATGAGGAACAACGTTGAATAAATGTCTAGCAAACTGAAATTGAAGTCATGAAGCATGAGAAAATAGGACCCGCCCAAAACTAATTACCAGAATCGTATTAATTTACATGGTTAAAATTCACTTATAAAATAAATCCTGTGCTGTCTGTCTGATGTCTGTCTGATACATCTTTGTGTCACGTTTTTTGTGGAAGCACAAAATGCCATACATGTATGCATGTATCAACGTTTCCTCTCTTATTATGCTGTAATCCAGCATTTTGTCCAGTGTATGCCTGTGCTTTTAGGCCTTTTCACATTATGAACGTCCGATTCGTGTCGAAATCTACATGGTTCCAACCCGTGTCAACTTCTAAAAATTTCAACAAGGTTCAATTTCGCTACGTTTTCACACTACTCATCGCAAACCCAGCGTTTTTGCCACATGTGTAATGTTTCGACCCGTTTATTGCGCGATCGTTTCACACTCGGCCGTCCGCCCTACACGTGTTTTGAAGCTCCAACCACGGACCCGCACTTCATGTCAGTCTTTTTTTCTGATTTCGGGCCCATTTTACATCGGAGGATAAAATATTCTGTGACTTGAACTTCTAGCACCATTGAAAGTATATGCAAAGAACGCACGAAAACTCAAGCGTGGTCGGCCACTTCTACTTTCTAGTGCTTACGAAAAAGCAAGCGCGGTCTGCAGGTGTAGCGTGAATTTAGGTGATATGAAATACGGACTCATTAAGGTACATGTATTGCGCATGCTCATGCATAGATAATTAGAAGAGGGACCGGTCATGTGAAAGGGTTTAACCAATAAAAGGGAAAAGGAGTTGATTTTCATAAGAGTCCGATTTTCATATCACTCCGTAGGTGGCGCCACAGGGCAGCAGGTAAAAGGTTATTTGTATGTTCGTTGCATGCTAAAAAGTAACAACTACAGCGTGATGCTGCATGCATGCACTCTCGTACTCTGGCCGGTCCGCGTCCAATGAGTCGATATGCTGAATGTCGAACGTAACCCAGAAGTGTTCACACTACGGCTTTCAACACGTGTTGGACTTCTCGACACGGATCGAGAATTCTCAACCCACCTCCCGAGTAGGGTTAGTTTCGACACGGGTCGAGCGCTCTACACGGGTCATTGCCGTGTTCAAATGTTGTAGTGTGAAAAGGTTAGTCCATTTTACATGTGTCGGACCCGTGTACAACACGGAGATTTTTCGTAGTGCGAAAAGGCCTTATGTGGTATATGCTCCGATTTCACTGTCCTCTGAAGCCACGGTTAGGTCATGAAAATTTTTTCATTTCAATTTATTTGTTTTGTTTTGCTTTTTTTTTGGCAAATTTGTTTTTTTTCTTCAGATTTTGAATAGTTAGGCCTACATTTAGGCCCTAAATATTGCAACATTATCTCTATGAAAACACATAACATAACGTTCATGATGAGAAATGTGGCAAAATGTGGCGAAATTGCTTCACCAAGTTTACCACGCCCACTTGGGGTCAGCAGTTAAATGACTCCATGCAGCTACTTTGCACAGCATCCCGCTAGTGAAGGATCAAACTGACAACACATGATGTGTAAAAAAGACCGACCTTATACAGCAATTAAGAGTGGGCAACCAAATCAACTGCAAAAGAATAAGAAAAACTACAATATTACAAATTACAGCATAAAGTTACTGTTTGGCCATGTACAGGTTCTTAGCAATCCTCTCTCTGCATGGTTTCATAAGCCTAAAATAAATTTGTAATTCAAGGTAAAATGTAAATTATGTAAGTGCCTGTTAGACCATAGACATGATAGACAAAGGAACATTGTACTTGTTTTTATGGTCAAACATAAATATTCTGTAATCCTTTCATGATCAGTGCATGATACATGTACCGGTACCGGTACGTGTCTACTGTCATGACTGTACTGCCAGGCGGTTGGTAATTTGTGTAGTTATACTGGCCCTGTTCCTATTAATAGAACAAAACTACATGTAGGTATCTATAGGTTATTGGAGTCGCCTACATGTTCTGCATGTAGATTGCAATGTTAAAACAAAATAAGAATGTTGTGGACAGAACCTCATCGATTTAGCAGTGCATCAACTGAAAAATGCGTCAGAAAACTGTGCCTTCTATGAATAGATACTGTTCAAAATAACAAAAATAGGGTCATCAGAATTAAAAGAAGAGTGCCTAAGGTCATGAATGTTACAGTATAGTTCAGTTTGGAATGATGAAGCCACTTAAAAGACTATGAAGGGCCTGTAACTACATGTACTCAATCACCACATAATTAAACTTGGAAAAATATCAACATGCAGCATTAGCCATAAGGGCGTCTTCCAAATAAAAAAAATTTCTATAATGATTCCCAAGCACTCATCCAAATCTTTGATAAATATCTACCGGTAACATGATTGCTGTTGTTTCCATGGTTACAGCAACCTTTGAGCCAGGCTTCTCGGAGCAAGAGAGTCTGTCTGCGTCGGACATTGAGCGGCTTCAGACATGCGTCACCAATGGCACAGGATGCCCCCAGTTGGCTTATTACCCAAACAACAACCTCAGTAAGTAGTTTCTTCTTTACATAAGGACATACATGTACCTTGTTTATTCTGTGGTTGTCAAATTTCCGACCAACCCTATTTTGGACTCTGACCATAAAAAATACTTTTTATTCCTGCCGATCCTGTCTGGAACTCCCATTAAACAAAACAACTACATCTTTCCAAAGATGGCTTTTGTATTTAGTTCAGTGTTCACCACCCATGATAATCTCATTGCAATAAACAAAACAAGAAACAAAGTTTACTTGGCATCATTTAATCTAGCCATCTACATACATGGGTTCAACTGCAAATTTTTGTTTTCTTCAGATTTTTTGTTATTTTGCTGATGGGCCAACCCTACTTCACTACTTCAGAGGCCAAAAAATATGAGAACCATAGAAATAAAACGGGATGCCAATAATATTAATGTCCCCCAACAGTCTGACAGGAATGATTATCACAAGATGTTCTGATGATTCTTTTTATCGTGGCCCATTACATGTCAATGTGCTGAATATGACTAAATGTAATTATATCAGAATGATGGATGATTTATTTATGAGATTTATTTACAAGATGAGATAATTTATTTAGTCCCTATACATGTAAATACGAATGATTCAATTACAACAATATGTATAAAATTACATCTTTTTGTATTATAATTTATTCATTATTAATATGCCATGTATGTGTTGACAGCAATGAATTACCTGTAAAGAGTTGACAAATATTTGGGATTGTAGGGGCAATTCCACGGTTACTCACGTTACATTTTTTATGTACTTTTGAGATTCCTTGGGCTGTAATTACCTTACTGAAAAGGTTTAAGAACTGTTATCCCCATGTTAGATACAGTAGACATAGACCTACCTCAGCACCAAAGATGACATCCAGAAAAATGTGTTATGTATGATAAATAAAACACACAAAATCGGTTACTCACGTAACGAAAATGTAACGTGAGTAACCAATTTTGTGCATCTTGTTTATCATACATAACACATTTTTCTGGATGTCATCTTTGGTGCTTAGGTAGGTCTAGGTTTACTCTATCTACCATGGGAATAACAGCTCTTAAACCTATTCAGTAAGGTATTACAGCCCAAGGAAACTCAAAAGTACATCAAAAATGTAACATGAGTAACCGTGGAATTGCCCGTATGTTACTTTTAGCAAAATGATAACAAATTCTGTTGTTAATTACTAAAATTACATGGACTTTCACATTTTTAAAAAGTTACACGTACATGTACATCATGTATATTTGTAAATAAATCAGGCGTGTAATCATCATATTAGGGAGATTTGTCAATGACCTGTTCCTATTTTATATATTTATTTTGCATGTCAAAAAGCTAAAACACGTTGTCTCCAATAATGAGTTCATCTCAGAATAAATATCAGACATGTACATGTACATCAACAGGATCCCAATTACATCCCACCAATACATTTGTCAATTTTTTTCACAATAATTCCCATACTCGACATGATATTCCACTGAGTTCACATTCTTTCCATGCATAGGGTTATTGCCTGCATGAGGTATTCACCAAGGCTTGTGAATTATGCAAATCTCTGTATGTGTATTATGCTGACCTCATGTTTATTCATTTCCCTCCCTCCCCCACTCCCCCCCCCCCCTCATCAGCCTCTGCCCTAATGCTTGGCGTAGCCCTGCAAGTGACAATCCCTCTGTCTCCTAGTAACTTCTCGTCAGAGGAGGAGTTGGTGAAAACAGCAGCTGAAGACCTGGACAGTTACTATGGAGGTGAGAAGAGGGAATTTGTGTCAGGTTTACTTATAATTTTTTTTTCATTAAAAGTAACAGCTGAACTGTTGAACATTGGAAGAAATAAACTTTATTCCAATAAAATACAGATAATAAGCTTCAAATCAAAGTAATACATGTTTCAATTGTGGCATTTTTTTTATAGTTTTCATTGAAGTTAATAATTCCTTGCAATTGCCTAAAGAAGTATTTGGAAAAGATGAACTGTCAGTACTATTTTTAGCTTAACCCTGAAAAAATACATTTTTTGTTTTCAATTTTGTGTCTGTGACCAATTAATGTGTCTGTGACCACATGGTTATGAATGTGACTATTTCATTTTTAATATTTTTCATGCAGTGATAGTATTTGACATTGGCAATGACACCACAACACACTCCCTAAGGATGTCACCTATAAGATCCGTCTGCCTCATGACATAGTCCGACAGGAAACTTGGCGAACCGAGCGGACCTATCCCAACTTTGACGTAGTTGGGCCGCGACTATACAAGTAAGCTTTAATTCTAGTTTGAATTTACCCAGATCCAAGACAGCCTGGCAAAAGTGTCAAACTGTTTTTTTTAATGTAATACTAGATTCAGACTGACATAATATCTGAGTCGTTCGCTCCAAACCAAAGTAATCCGTACATTTGAATGAGGCGCATGAAAAGTTTGATGTTTGCAACAGTTAGGAGAAACCTCGTCAACAGTTCAACTTTACCAGAGTGTCTTGATATAAAGATGTTGCTTTGAGTGTTGCTTTACACTGCAAGTTCACCTGTCTTAAACACTAATTCTCTTTTCGGCCCAAGTCACTTCAATGGGAGTCAATGGATTATCATTGAATCTCTACGTAACTATCCATCATACACAGCAGTACTGTTATTGACTAATGCGTGAGCACCTTTCCCCTAATTTCCAGGTGTTTAAATGTGTGTAATTAGTGTACACAATCTGATTACTTGATAATCCCCTCTACTGTTACATACAAGCATGAATGTTGGGGAAACCTCTGAAATTAAGTCCTTGTCAAAACAAAATGATCCTAAATGTGAACAAATGGCAACTGAGAAAAGACAGTTTCATGAAATCACCGTTTGTACGTTCTCAGAAAATATTTTAAACATTTCTTCAAGAAATATACAGTACGGCTTCCAAATTGAGTGGTCTATCAACAATAAAATACAACTAGAGGTTGTAGGAACAACCACGCAGTGTTGGGCCATGGACTATCGCAAACTTTTTTCAAACACATCAACAGTAAATGCATGTTTTAATCCATGTTTAACTTAGTCAACATGCCGCTAGAGGGCGCTGTCACATTTTATGACGTCACCTGTAATATTTTTGTAAAGTACATCCTGGGCAGAAATTCACATCGTTGAAAGCAAGTTCACATCTTTTGCCAATTTCAAATTATAAGGCACTTCCGGTTTCGACCAGAAGGAAGGGTCACGTGATTTTGCACTTAATACTGTAACATTTGAGCAATTTACGCAATTTGTTTTGACTTGGCGTGCCATAGAAAGCAATAGACGCGCGATTAGTTTGTCGCCGCCAGCGGGCTAGTTAGTTGGTGAACGCTACTCGTGCTGGGAGGACCAACCAAGCCTACCGGAGTGTCAATCTCAAGGAGGCGAAAGGGCGTACTGCAGTAAGTACATGTACATGTATATGTGCCTACCTACCTTTAGCGTGGGACATATAGCGGAGCCATAGAGGCGCGACTGTTGGCCGGACGCCTCGAGGGACGACGTACGCTAGCGAGCGTACATCTACTGAGGCATCGGTCCGAGCACTGAGGCGCAGGGCTGCTGTAGGTAGCGGTGGAGGCGTTAGGACTCATCAGGAAGTTACACGCTCCATATAAACCAGGCTCACGAGGAGCCTACCCCTTTGAGGCCCGAGGAGACGAGAGGCGTTGCCGAGGGAACAACTGTGCGCGACATTTAGAAGTTCATAAATGCGGCACTTGCGTGGTGGATAAGTGCAAACTAGTGGCGGGAGGCGCTATACACTCGCTAGAGGCGCCATAACACTCACTTAAAGCGCTGCTTAGGGCTTATTCAAGTAAATCACTTTAATCATAATAATTGATCTAATTAAATAAATCAGTGAAACCTTCTTCCTTTTGTCATTGCGTCACAGTCATTTTACATGTTTGTCAGTCTGAATTGTCTGTCCGGAAGTGAGCGATCTACCGGTAGTGAGTAGACTGAGTATACGTGATGGTATATTTCCAACCTAACGGACCTGCACCTCGGCGCTGTTAGGGTTACTCGCCTTACCCGCAAGTGTTCGCCGAGGACAACCGACCTGGCAATAGTAAACCCGCCACAATACCAAAAATGAAGACCCTGCAATATTGTATCGATTGTCATAAAAAACAAAACCAAATTTGTAGCAGTTGATATTACATGTACATGTTTATTGATTTTCAAAGATTAAATATGGAAATCTGTATTTGCTTGTTATATGACACTTGATGACGTCATTGTGACGTCATTGCCAGAAACCTCCAGAGCTATATTTACTGTGCTATACATGTATATAGCCACATTTTGCTTATCTCTCACGGTTGATTTTTTAGCAATTGTTTAAGGTTTAACGGTTTTTTCTTTATAACTTCCGGTCTGATGACGTAATCAATTTTTCGCGCACAGGTCTTTTCTGCATTAAGTTCATCATGTATATTAAGTTTGAAGCGATTACCGCAAATTTCGCCACATACATCAAGTGATAATGAGTTTTTGACGTTTTTTAACCTGCCGCTAGAGGGCGCTCTAACATTTTATGACGTCACCTGTAATGTGTTTCTGAAGTACAGCCTAGGCAGACACTCACATCATTAAAAGCAAGTTCGTATCTTCTGCCAATATTAATAATAGGGCACTTTCGGTTTCGACCAGAAGGAAGGGTCACATGATTTTGCACTTACCGGTAATACCGAAAATTACAACCCTGCAATATTGTTTCAATTGCCATAAAGAACAAAATCAAATCTGTAGCAGTTGATTTCACATTGATTTTCAAAGATTAAATCTAGAAATCTTTGATTGCTTGTAATATGATACTTGATGACGTCATTGTGACGTCATTACCAGGAACCTCCAGAGCTATATTTACTGTGCTATATATAGCCACATCTTGATTACATCTCTCACGGTTGATTTTTTAGCAATTGTTTAAGGGTGAAAGATTGATTTATAGTAACTTCCGGTTTGATGACGTAATCAATTTTTTTTCGCGCGGAGGTCTTGTCTGCATTATGGTCATCATGTACATTAATTTTGAAGCGACTACCTGACTACCGCAAACTTTGCCACAGACATCAAGTGAAAGTGCGTTTTTGACGTTTTTTAACCTGCCGCTAGAGGGCGCTCCAACACTTCATGCTGTCACCCATCATTTTTTTTTGAAAGGTCAATCCAGGCAGACGCTAACATCATTGAAAGTGAATTCATATGTTCTTCCACTTTCAAATTATTAGGCACTTCCGGTTTCGACCGGAAGGAAGGGTCAAGTGATTTTACGTGCACAAGATAAAATGAAGAGCATGTACATGTATTATCATGTCGATTCCCGCAAAATTCAAGTTCCGGTCTGTCACGGTTGATTTTATATGGAATTTCAAAGATTAAATTTATTAAACTTTCAAGTGACGTCACGTGACCCATGATGACGTCATAATGACATAATTACAAAAAAGCACATCTTCAATGGATTGTACATTGACAAATGAAGTTCATATACATGTATGTTTCCATTTTCCAAACAGTTCCGGAGAAGAATTGTGTCTTGGAGAATAAAAAAAAAAAAGTGAACTTTTACAATAACAATAGGTGTTGGGCTCAAAAATATCTTTCTATTGTCGCATCATCGTGAAAACGGAAGCCCATATTCCATATGCAAATAACCCTAGGAGTCACACATGCGCAGTGGAAAGTGGCTGAAACGTATGTGGTTATCCATTGAAAAACAATTGTAAAATACAACTAAAGATTCGCGTTTGTTGTTACAAACGCAGAGTGGTCGGGTAGACAACTATTTTATGAACACTGTCCAGTTAAGTAATGAATATTTTTATGTAAGAGCAAAGGATCTCGAAATTGAATCCTTTTCAGGACAATCAATTATTTTGTTTAAAAAATGCATCTTAAATGCTGTGATAAATTTCAGTAAACATTCAATGTACACATACAAGTTATTTCTGGCTTGATAACGTCATTAGTCAAAAACGGGAAGTGAATACCGATTTAGTTTGGAGTGGATGTTAATTGTGAAGTTATTGAACGTATGAACATTTGGAAAAAATAAGTGTATGTATTCATAACACCAAACTTCCGGTTTGACGACGTCACAGTATTTGGAAGCAAAAGGTGAACATTCTAATGGTATCGTTATTTGGGCTAAGATATACGACATGGATCAAATGATAAAATTAAATTTTTACAACATGATCGTTGGCAAATTCTCATAGAAGTAACTTCCGGACTGATGACGTCATGAATTTGAAACTTTGCCAAGTTATCTGTGGTTAATCAAAAAATATCAAGGGGCGATTTGGTAAAATTTGAATCTATAGTTTTATAATTAAAGAAAAGAAACATTATTTTATGTGCCGCTAGGGGGCGCCCTTTCGGATGATGACGTAATCACACGTTTTTTTGTGTCTGGCATTTCTCACTAAACACTTTCATAATATATGTCTGTAGTAAAATGCTTCCGCTTTTGAGTTATATTAAGTTTTTATTGCACTTCACACCGGAAGTAAAGGTCAAGCGGTTTTGTGTCCGGTAACACAAAATATTTCACACGGCATTGTCTACAACCTCACGAAAAAACAAACACGATACTCTATTTCGTTTAAAAGATAAAACGCAAACTATTTTGTCAAAATTTGCCCTTAAATCGCTTGTTATTTGATACCTGATGACGTCATGATGACGTAACAAAAGTTATAACATCTTCGTAACATGGTACAAGTTCACACAAGGTTTTGTGATCATACCGTTAACCGTTCAGAAGAAATTGTGCTTTGTTTTGATTTCAGGCTAACGTCTTCATTTTGAATTCACCTACGGTAACTTTGACCTGCCAGTAGACCCGGAAGTAAAGGTCAAGCGAGTATACGTACACGACAAAAAATGTTTAGCAATTAATGGTCTATCTGATAATAGAATACAAACATCATTGATTATTTAGTTCAAGAGTTATAGGTGAAAGTAATTGGTCACTTTTTCAGCTAAAATCGCTTGTAATTTGACACCCGATGACGTCATAATGATGTCAGTAATATGCACCACTTAGGACGAGGGTCGATATATATTGAAAGTTACAAGTTCCTATCCTAAACCGTTTTGGAGAAAACCCGCGGAAACATGCTATATGGGAAAAAAAGAAAGAAAGAAAGAAAGATTAATCGTAACAACTCCAAAG